TTTTACAATTTGCTCACTGTAAATTTTCGTGGAGGATGTGAGTAGAGAGGACACAGTCGTGGAGGATGGGTGTAGAGAGGACGTGGTCGTGGAGGATGTGTAGGGAGAGGACACGGTCTTGGAGGATGTGAGTATAGAGGACGTGGTCGTGGAGGATGTGAGTATAGAGGACACGGTCGACGAGGATGTGAGTATAGAGGACGTGGTCGTGGAGGATGTGAGTAGAGAGGACACGGTCGTGGAGGATGTGAGTAGAGAGGACACGGTCGTGGAGGATGTGAGTAGAGAGGACACGGTCGTGGAGGATGTGAGTAGAGAGGACACGGTCGTGGAGGATGTGAGTAGAGAGGACACGGTCGTGGAGGATGTGAGTAGAGAGGACGTGGTCGTGGAGGATGTGTAGGGAGAGGACACGGTCGTGGAGGATGTGAGTATAGAGGACGTGGTCGTGGAGGATGTGAGTATAGAGGACACGGTCGACGAGGATATGAGTATAGAGGACGTGGTCGTGGAGGATGTGAGTAGAGAGGACACGGTCGTGGAGGATGTGAGTATAGAGGACACGGTCCTGGTGGATGTGTGTAGAGAAGACACGGTCGTGGAGGATGTGAGTAGAGAGGACACAGTCGTGGAGGATGTGTGTAGAGAGGACACGGTCGTGGAGGATGTGAGAAGAGAGGACGTGGTCGTGGAGGATGTGAGAAGAGAGGACGTGGTCGTGAAGGATGAGTAGAGAGGACGTGGTCGTGGAGGGTGTGTGTAGAGAGGACGTGGTCGTGGAGGATAGTGAGTGAGTGAGTGAGTTGGGTTTAACGCCGCTTTTAACAGTATTCCAGTCATATCGCGGAGTGTCAGCTTAATGTGGGAGGAAAGCCCAAGTGATGCAGGTCTCAAACGTTTACCACTTCAGTGAAACCCACGAGCACGGGTATGGTGCTGACAAACCTAGAAACATAATCGGGGCGAACCGGGATTCGAACCCACAATCATAGGTTTCTGGCGTGCCTAAGGGACGCAACTCTGCACAGCGAATCGCGGCGCCTTAGACGACTGGGCGACCCGTGTCCCCTTCGTGGAGGATAAGTAGAGTGGACGCCGTCGTGGAGGATGAGTAGAGAGGACGAGGTCGTGGAGGACACGGTCGTAGAGGGTGTGTGTAGAGTGAACGAGGTCGTGGAGGATGAGTAGAGAGGACGCGGTCGTGGAGGACGTGGTCGTGGAGAATGTGAGTAAATAGGACGTGGTCGTGGAGGATGTGTGTAGAGAGGATGTGGTAGTAGAGGGTGTGTGTGTAGAGGACGCGGTCGTGGAGGATGTGAATGATTTGCTCTTTCTGAACATATGTTATGAATAACCTCAGAACAAAATTATATTTTTGACACAGAGTGATGGATTCCTTAGAGTACACCCCCTGTGCTTCGTCAGAAGACCCGGATGTCACTCCGGTGAGGACGCCACCTCAAGTCCCGGATGTCACTCCGGTGAGGACGCCCCTTTTGCAGCGCATCATGCTGAAGTTGGGAAACTCCGTGTACAGAAGGAAACTGTACTACATGCTGGGGATGTACATTTCGTCTTTCTTCACTGTAAGTGTTTCGTATGAGCTCGGTGACTGGACTTGGCAAGCAGTTATCAAAAGCAAAGTAAAGATTAAATAAAAAATTAAAATTCAGTCGCCAGCCTTATAAAACTATTGTCATCAGTCTGAGAGCAGTAAACCCAGCTGTAATTTTCACATTCTCACGCAAGTCACTAACTAGGTGAAAGGCGAGAGCAAGACCTATAGTCTGAGTACACATAGGATTGTCACAAAGACTAGTTCTGTGTATGTAGTACATATGTATGACCTGATTCAATTTCGTTTTACATGACATTGGCATGCCATGATATAACTGACATATCATTATATAACTGACAGACCATGATATAACTGACATATCATCATATAACTGACATATCATCATATAACTGACAGACCATGATATACCTGACATATCATCATATAACTGACAGACCATGATATAACTGACATATCATCATATAACTGACATATCATCATATAACTGATATACCATGATATAACTGACAGACCATCATATAACTGACAGACCATGATATAACTGACAGACCATCATATAACTGACATACCATCATATAACTGACATACCATGATATAACTAACAGACCATCATATAACTGACAGACCATCATATAACTGACAGACCATCATATAACTGACATATCATCATATAACTGACAGACCATGATATAACTGACAGACCATGATATAACTGACATATCATCATATAACTGACAGACCATGATATAACTGCCATACCATCTTATAACTGACAGACCATCATATAACTGACAGACCACCATATAACTGACATATCATCATATAACTGACAGACCATGATATAACTGACAGACCATGATATAACTGACATACCATCATATAACTGACATACCATCATATAACTGACATACCATCATATAACTGACATACCATGATATAACTAACAGACCATCATATAACTGACAGACCATCATATAACTGACAGACCATCATATAACTGACATATCATCATATAACTGACAGACCATGATATAACTGACAGACCATGATATAACTGACATATCATCATATAACTGACAGACCATGATATAACTGCCATACCATCTTATAACTGACAGACCATCATATAACTGACAGACCACCATATAACTGACATATCATCATATAACTGACAGACCATGATATAACTGACAGACCATGATATAACTGACATACCATCATATAACTGACAGACCATCATATAACTGACAGACCATGATATAACTGACATACCATCATATAACTGACAGACCATCATATAACTGAGAGACCATCATATAACTGACATATCACCGTATAACTGACAAACCATGATATAACTGACATATCATCATATAACTGACAGACCATGATATAACTGACATATCATCATATAACTGACAGACCATGATATTACTGACAGACCATCATATAACTGACAGACCATGATATAACTGACATATCATCATATAACTGACAGACCATGATATACCTGACATATCATCATATAACTCACAGACCATGATATAACTGACATATCATCATATAACTGACATATCATCATATAACTGACATACCATCATATAACTGACAGACCATCATATAACTGACAGACCATGATATAACTGACAGACCATCATATAACTGACATACCATCATATAACTGACATACCATGATATAACTAACAGACCATCATATAACTGACAGACCATCATATAACTGACAGACCATCATATAACTGACAGACCATGATATAACTGACAGACCATGATATAACTGACATATCATCATATAACTGACAGACCATCATATAACTGCCATACCATCATATAACTGACAGACCATTATATAACTGACAGACCATCATATAACTGACATATCATCATATAACTGACAGACCATGATATAACTGACAGACCATGATATAACTGACATATCATCATATAACTGACAGACCATGATATTACTGACAGACCATCATATAACTGACAGACCATCATATAACTGACATATCATCATATAACTGACAGACCATGATATAACTGACAGACCATGATATAACTGACAGACCATCATATAACTGACAGACCATCATATAACTAACATATCATCATATAACTGACAGACCATGATATAAGTGACATACAATTATATACCTGACAGACCAGAATATAAATGGCATTAAATGATATTAAATGTAACGGGAAAGCTGTACTTTTATGATAGAAAAGCGTCTTAGAGTTTGGTTTGATTTGAATAATCTTTAATCTGAATCTCAACTATTCAACGGCTGACAATCTATTTATACTGCAAGCTTCATGTTCCAAATATTTATGTAAACCTAGGGGTCGCTTTTATTGTACATTTGAAGATTTCAAAAAAAGCTTTCGATCATGTGGATAGTGAGAAAATGTCATATTTACTTCTTATCAAATGGGAGATTGTTTCAAGTTTTAAAAATAATGTATTCATCGGTAAAGGCTTGTGTTAAAACACAATCTGGTAGAACACAGTGCTTCTTAACATCTAGTGGTGTACGCCAGGGATGTATATTAAGTCCAGTTTGTTTATTTATTTTCAATAATGAGCTCTCAACAGAAATAAATAACGAATGTCATCATGGTGTGTTTGTCACACAAGATATTAGAGATTTAATGTTACTTCTATTTGCTGATGATATAATGTTTTCATACTCTGTTAATGGTCTACAGAAACAATTGAATGTATTACATTCTTTTTGCAGAAGATGGGGATTGGAAGTTAATTTGTCAAAAACAAATGTAATTGTTTTCAGAAATGGAGGTATCACTGCCAAAAATGAAAAATGGACATATAGTAATATCGCCTTAAAAAATGTTACTTACTATAAATATTGAGGCTTGACGCTATCATCTAAACTATCATGGTCAGTTGTGTGCAAACAACTGGCATCGCAAGCATCAAAAGCAATTATACCAATCTGTAATTTTTTTCAAGCAAAATATACATGTATCCTTTTCTACAGCTTGTACTATATGTGACGGCAACATCGCGCCAAGCTTGCTATATGGAGCAGAAATATGGGGCGCAAAATATAATGACGCTTTTGAAAAAGTACATGCTTACTACTTTAAGCGTTTTTTAATGGTTGAAAAAATATGCTTCCAACAAAGCTATTTTAGGTGAAACAGGACGTTATCCCATTCATGTATTAAGTCAACTTCGAATGACAAAATATTGGTTAAAATTACTGAGGATGGAGCCGCAAAGATATTCTTACCAATGTAATAAACTACTGAAAGCTCTTGACGACAAATATTTCTTATTTTCATGTGGCTATTCCTTTGTGTGGATATCCCAAGATGTAGGGGATACAAATTTGTTCTTAAACGTTACAGGATATGTATAGTCAAAACTGGCACGATGGTATATCTTCTTCTCGTTTCCTTAGCCATTACAAGGATATCTAGTCTGCTATGGAACCAGAGAAGTATATAAGTATCTATCTATCTATCTATCTATCTATAAAATGATATAACTGACATACCAGGATATAACTGACATACCATCATATAATCAGGGGTAGAATATGTCTTCAGCAACCCATGCTTGCCGTAAAAGGCGACTATACTTGCCGTAAAAGGCGACTATGGGATCGGGATCGGGTGGTCAGGCTCGCTGACTTGCGTGATACATGTCATCGATCCCAATTGCGTGGATCGATGATCATGATGTTAATCACTGGATTGTCTGATCCAGATTCGATTATTTACAGACCGCGGTCATAAAGCTGGAATATTGATGAGTGCGGCGTTAAACAAGAAACAAACCAACAAACAAACCAACAAACCATCATATAACTGACATACAATCATATAACTGGCGTACCAAGATATAACTGACATACCAGGATATAACTAGCATACCAGGATATAACTGACATACCATCATATAACTGACATACCAGTATACAAATGATATACCAGGATATAACTGACATAAAATCATATCTGACAGAAGAAAATATAATTGACATACCAGGGTATAACTGACATACCAGGATATAACTGACATACCAGGATATAGCCGACATACCAGGGTATAACTACCATACCGTCATATAACTGAAATACCATGATATAACTGACATACAATCATACCTGACAGAAGAGAATATAACTGACATACCAGGATATAACTGACATACCAGGATATAACTAGCATACCAGGATATAACTGACATACCATCATATAACTGACATACCAGTATACAAATGACATACCAGGGTATAACTGACATACAATCATATCTGACATAAGTGAATATATTTGACATACCAGGGTATAACTGACATACCAGGATATAACTGACATACCAGGGTATAACTGATAAACTTCATATAACTGAAATACCATGATATAACTAGCATACCAGGATATAACTGACATACCATCATACAACTGATACCAGTATACCAATGATATACAAGGATATAACTGACATACCAGGATATAACCGACATACCATCATAAACTGACATACCAGGGTATAACTAACCTACCAGGATATAACCGACATACCATCATAAGAACTGACATACCAGGGTATAACTAACATACCAGGATATAACTGACATACCATCATAAAACTGACACATTAGGGGGTAACTGCCTTTCCAGTAAAGCAGTGTCAAATCGTGTGGCTATTATATGGTCACAAAAGTAGGAGGATTTAATGAGTGATTAAATAGTGTGCCTGCGTTGATGTCAATGTATCCAAGTTTGTTTACAAGTAATGTGCTGTGAATTTGAAAAAAAACATTTTTCTGTCGTGTTGGAATTGATAGTGATGACGAGGGGTAATCTCGTCATTCTGGACTCAGGAATGTAAATGTGCACTAGACCTCACAACCGTGTCAATGTAGTTGCTAGTGGGACTGATTTGGTCATCAAGAGAATATGACATACGTAAAGTACTCTGTATCTCACAGGGATTGATAGTGGGACTGAAGGGGCCAGCCTTCCTCGACCTTCAGCAGATTACTGGTGTAGGCACAAGCCAGGGTGCTGCATTCTTCACAGCTGCAGCCGTTGGGGGAGTAGTTGGAAGTTTGGTCGGCGGTGCTCTCTATGACAGATTCAACCGTCACATAGTGTTGTTTGTGTCATCCTTCCTGTATGCTGTGACGTGTGCAATCATTCCCTGGTGTTCTGTGTACTGGTCAATGGTCATGATGTTCCTGATACACGAGCTGGTTACAGGTGCTGCCAGGTCAGGTAAGACAATATGCCTCTACTACAGCACAACTCAGCTGGTTACAGGTACTGCCAGGTCAGGTAAGACACCATGTCTCTACTACAGCACATCCCAGCTGGTTACAGGTGCTGCCAGGTCAGGTAAGACACCATGTCTCTACTACAGCACATCCCAGCTCATTACAGGTGCTGCCAGGTCAGGGAAGACACTATGACTCTACTACAGCACATCCCAGCTGGTTACAGGTGCTGCCAGGTCAGGTAAGACACCATGTCTCTACTACAGCACATCTCAGCTGGTTACAGGTGCTGCTAGGTCAGGTAAGACACCATGTCTCTACTACAGCACATCTCAGCTGGTTACAGGTGCTGCCAGGTCAGGTAAGACACTATGTCTCTACTACAGCACATCCCAGCTGGTTACAGGTGCTGCTGGGTCAGGTAAGACACCATGTCTCTACTACAGCACATCTCAGGTGGTTACAGGTGCTGCCAGGTCAGGTAAGACACCATGTCTCTACTACAGCACATCTCAGCTGGTTACAGGTGCTGCCAGGTCAGGTAAGACACCATGTCTCTACTACAGCACATCTCAGCTGGTTACAGGTGCTGCCAGGTCAGGTAAGACACTATGTCTCTACTACAGCACATCCCAGCTGGTTACAGGTACTGCCGGGTCAGGTAAGACACTATGCCTCTACTACAGCACATCTCAGCTCGTAACAGGTGCTGCCAGGTCAGGTAAGACACTATGCCTCTACTACAGCACATCCCAGCTGGTTACAGGTGCTGCCAGGTCAGGTAAGACACTATGCCTCTACAACAGCAGATTTCAGCTGGTTACAGGTGCTGCTAGGTGAGGTAAGACACTATGCCTCTACTACAGCACATCCCAGCTCGTAACAGGTGCTGCCAGGTCAGGTAAGACATTAAGCCTCTATTACAACACATCTCAGCTGGTTACAGGTGCTGCCAGGTCAGGTAAGACACTATGCCTCTACAACAGCATATTTCAGCTGGTTACAGGTGCTGCTAGGTGAGGTAAGACACTATGTCTCTACTACAGCACATCCAAGCTGGTTACAGGTGCTGCCAGGTCAGGTAAGACACTAAGCCTCTACTACAGCACATCCCAACTGGTTACTGGTGCTGCCAGGTCAGGTAAGACACTAAGCCTCTATTACAACACATCTCGGCTGGTTACAGGTGCTGCCAGGTCAGGTAAGACACCATGTCTCTACTACAGCACATCCCAGCTCGTAACAGGTGCTGCCATGTCAGGTAAGACATTATGCCTCTACAACAGCACATCTCAGCTGGTTACAGGTGCTGCTAGGTGAGGTAAGACACTATGCCTCTACAACAGCACATCCCAACTGGTTACTGGTGCTGCCAGGTCAGGTAAGACACTTAGCCTCTATTACAACACATCTCGGCTGGTTACAGGTGCTGCCAGGTCAGGTAAGACACTAAGCCTCTACTACAGCACATCCCAGCTGGTTACAGGTGCTGCCAGGTCAGGTAAGACACCATGTCTCTACTACAGCACATCCCAGCTCGTAACAGGTGCTGCCATGTCAGGTAAGACATTATGCCTCTACAACAGCACATCTCAGCTGGTTACAGGTGCTGCTAGGGGAGGTAAGACACTAAGCCTCTATTACAACACATCTCAGCTGGTTACAGGTGCTGCCAGGTCAGGTAAGACACTAAGCCTCTATTACAACACATCTCAGCTGGTTACAGGTGCTGCTAGGGGAGGTAAGACACTAAGCCTCTATTACAACACATCTCAGCTGGTTACAGGTGCTGCCAGGTCAGGCAAGACGCTAAGCCTCTATTACAACATCATCACGGTTTATTCCTATTACAGGTCTCAAACGTTTACCACTTCAGTGAAACCCACGAGCACGGGTATGGTGCTGACAAACCTAGAAACATAATCGGGGCGAACCGGGATTCGAACCCACAATCATAGGTTTCTGGCGTGCTCAAGGGGCGCAACTCTGCACAGCGAATCGCGGCGCCTTAGACGACTCACTCACCCTGCCCAGGCACAACTTCAAACCTTTTTTGCGTGATTGGAATTTCCATTCAACAAGCATTAACGGTTTTAATACACCCTTAACACAATAGCACGTGCTAATCGCTGGATGCAAGTCTGACAAGTCATACCGCAAGCTCAAAATATTTTCGAGCCAACTACATGCAACATGCACAACCCCTGTGAAGATCCGGTTTACCGTAAGAGTCGACTGAAGGGATTGCGTGGTCAGGCTTGCTGACTTGATTGATGCATGTCACCGTATCCCAATTGCATAGATCGATTCTCATGATGTTAATCACTGGACTGTCTGGTCAGGTTCGATTATTTACCGACTTCCGTCATATAGCGACATTAAAGAATAGACAAACAAACAACCTGTTTAACGAATATTTCTCTTCCTCTGTTCCAGGTACGAATGTGGAGATCGCGGAAGAGTTTGGAGACGAGGGCAAACCCTTCATGCAAGCACTGCATTTCTCCTTCTCTCTCGGGGCAACCGTCGCCCCCTTTGTCCTTGAACCATTCCTCTCCCAGGAACCTGAGTTGGATACAACAAACACTTCTTTCACAACAAGTGACCCCTCCTTCAACACAACAGCCTTCAACATGACGACGGCTATTGCACCTCGCAGACCAGAAAGTAATATCCACTATGGCTTTCTCATCGTGGCTATTCTTGCAGGGTTGTCTTCCTTCGTGTTCCTCATCAAATTCTTCCTTGAAAAGAACAAGAAGGGTATAAGTAGCATTCGACGGATGGACGCACAAAGGGACCATGATGAAGAAGAAGGTCCAGTGAGGAAGAAGAGAATTCTCCCTCGACGACTTCTCATCATCACACTGGCACTCTTTGCCCTCTTCTACTTCTTCCTGGATGAGGTGGAAGACACCTCCCCATCTTTCCTGGCTTTGTTTGTCGTGAAGCAGATGAATTGGACCAAGAAATATGGTGGACGCCTGTCCTCCGCTTTCTGGGGATCCTACACAGCTGGGAGGGGGGTTGGCATCGTCCTCATCAGTTTCGTCACACACGCCCAGTTCTTCACCATCTGCTGCATCGTCCTCTGTGTGTCTCAGCTCGGTCTCCTCCTGTCAGCCACCTATGGATTTGGTACTGGTATCTGGATCAGCGTTGTTGGTATAGGACTGGCAATCTCAGTGGTGTTCCCCGCAAGTCTCACCTGGACAGAAAAGGAGCTTGTCCAACTCTCAGGGAAGCTGATGGGTGTCATCTTTGTTGCCTTGAGTCTCGGTGGACTTGCAAACCCTCAGATTATTGGCGTCACCATGGATCTGTATTCACCAATATGGTACAGTTATGTTCTGTTTGCTGAGAGCGTCTTGTTTTCCATCACCTTCCTAGTTCTGGTGACTTTAGTAAAGAAGGTACTCTCTAAACACAAACATGAATTTAAAGAAAGAGATTAATAACAACAGGGTGATCCTTTGAAGCAAATAAACTAAGCCCGCTTACTAACCCCTCAGTCCGAAATTTCCCATTTCTAGGGGTACGAATTCGTTTGGGTAACGAATTTACATACACCTCAAAGTGCAAGACAGCAGGCTGGCCACTAAACACATTGTTTTTTGCAAGTCAATTGAATTTGTTATTTTTTCAGAATATGCACAGTGGTTACAAAAATAACAACAGAAAATTTATTGTGTACAGTTCTGAGAGAGTCACACGGGAAGAGCTATAATATTATATAGCAGTTGCTTTCTTAGTTTAAAAAGAATCTTCAAATAAAATAACAAATATAGGATATTTGCAAATTAATTAGATCAACAACTGCATAGATAATATCGCAATACGTTTTTCTAAAGCAGGATTAATGGAAGAAGATAATATGTTTTGGATTACAGATATATTTTATCATGAGTTGAGTGGGTAGGTTTAACGCTGTCTTAAGCAGTATTCCTCTTCTAATACTAGGATATAGCTTCTATCTTCTGTCAGTTTTATGTGGGAGGAAAGCCAGAAGCAATGCAGGTTTCAGACGTTTACCTAGAAACGTATCACCAAACATAGGTAATATAAACGAAATCTTACATCAATTATATTTTGAAAAAATGACCCTCAACCAAAAAACCTGTGACCAGAGCATACCCTTTTTTAATCTTGAATAACTTATGCTTACATGGAAAACGAACGATTTTCATGGTAAATATTCATGGACTGATAAGTTGTGCAAAGGAACTTGGGATGACAATAGTCTGTATTTTATTGTTTGATATGCATTACAGTAAACTATGTTTACACCTAACACGCTTATAACGAATTGACCGATATAACGAACTTACTTTTTAGCCCCGACCATTTGTTTTATAAATGCTGTATATATGCTTATAACGAAGTACGCTTATAACGACCTGAAATTAATGGTCCCTTCGAGTTCGTTATAACCGAAGTTTGTTGTACTTAGAAGTTGACGGATGACAGGATAAGTTTTCATGGGTGTGGTGATTATTGTTAAATGAGTTCATAGTAGGCGGATGGGATGAAATAACCCTGATCTCTGTTGATTGATGGCTTGTGGCGGCGAATGTTGACTGCGTCTGTCTGTTCTCTTTTAGTGAAGTCATGGAGGTTGTTGGAGAGGATTTGGACGTTTTCCCGGTTGTTGTTGTGATGGGGACAGTTGCTGATATAGTCCGAGGTGGATGCTTTTTTGTCCGATTTAATGGTGGAGGTTTTGTTTTTGTGACACCTATGCAAACTGATCCTGTTTAATTGGCTTCATGTCGCTTTGGCTTCCACCTATGTGTCTCTGTCCAATGTTGTGACAGTATTATCCAATTGTTGTTACTGTTAATCCTCTACCTACTATATATTCTGTACAATGTTCCTCAGTCTTGCTTGACAACGGTATAAGGATCCAGACCGAAACGTCGCCTTTAGAGTATTAGTGTGGGAGGAAAGCCCGAAGTGATGCAGGTCACAGAAGATGTTATCCATAAACTGTGTCCAGCAAAAGGACTTCCAAGCCAGCAAATGGAAAAGACATTGTTCTACCTTGTGTGTTGGAGAAACGCCCCAATTTTCGTTTTTGGAATAGATGTGCAGGTCTTTTGAAACACTTTGCAGTGACCAAATCTTTTGAAATATTTTGGAAACATTGAAAGGGTTTCATTGCCTATCCAACCGTGTTGAAATAACCACAATGGTGTCGCGCATGCGCGTGCGGTAGCACCCTAACAGAGGCGTCTGACGTCAATTTGGACACCTTCAAACGGTTGTATTTCCCTAACGACCCCTTATAGGTGTGTCGGATTTGGTATCAAACGTCTCAGAATTTGAAGAAAAAATGTGTTTTACACCTCTCCAGCAAAAGGACTTCCAAGTCAGCAAACGGAAAAGACATTGTTCTACCTTGTGTGTTGGAGAAACGCGCCAATTTTCGTTTTGATTTTGGATGACTTATCATCTCACCCTTGTGTCGTTTGACATCAAATATATGAACACTTGTTTTGGAGTTTTAAACCTTTATCAACTGAAATCAAAAGACACTCAGTGATAGTCTCTACACATAAGTGTTTATCAACCATATCTCCAGCACAACAGATTGTGTAATACAGTTGAGAGAGGCACGACGATCTGCTGTTGTGAAGTCCACAGCTGCTGTAGACCTGGAGCTACTCTACCTTGTACTACACAGCATACTTCAATAGTGACATCACCACATTTAAACCAGGCCAGGAATATATTTGTCTACTTTGTAATCTGTATTTTAACATCATTTCTACCTAACTGTCACAATGTCAATACATTCATTCATAATATTTTCGATGAATAGTATGTTATGTGAATTAGATCTAGTTTAAGAAGGACGTGGATGGGTCGAGTTCAAGGTTTAATCAGCTAGGAGGAGAGGCAATCTAAACATTCATTACTGGATCCAGGAAATGAAAGGAACATTGTCAGTTTAGGAATTCCTCAATGAAGCACTCAGAGAAAGATTGGTTTGTGGGTTAAGAAATGAGGGTATTCAGAAGAGATTATTAGCTGAAGAAAATGTCTCATATAGTGCCATCAAGATATCTGTGCCATGGTATCGGCGACAAGGTATGCACATGAATTACAGAAACATGGAAACGCTACAGTTGTCACCAGCTGAATTTCCTAAGAAATAGAAAAAATTCACAAGATTTCAGGGATAGTAAATCTCAATGATAAATGTGGATTTTTAGGACATAACCCAAAATTCGATGATGTGAAGCGCGGGGAATGTGAAAATATTGGACAAATAGGACCTTTATGCAATTTTGGGATTACAGAATCAATAAATGATAGCAGTAAATCAGGAAAGAAGGGTAGTTGGAACCAGGTGCTCGCACTCACTTGATCACTGTGATAGTTAAGATGATATCAGGGAAGCATGTCGTTCAGATCTTGGAAAAAAAGAAAGGCAGTCGGGTAGCCTTGTGGTTAAAGCGTTCGCTCGTCACGCCGAAGACCTGCGTTCGATACCCCACATGGGTACAATGTGTGAAGCCCATTTCGGGTGTCCCCCGACGTGATATTGCTGGAATATTGCTAAAAGCGGCGTAAAACCACACTCACTCGCATTAATCAACAATTGCCAAGAGGGACAGCTCCTTTGGGATTGTGCTCAGGGACGGTGATACAGTGATACGTGTGGTGTATATACGAAATAACATTCGACAACCTATCTAACTGGTCCTGTGATGTTGGTATACAGACTAAGACCATAAAACATATGTGCATCATAGCTCAACCATGTCATCCTTACACTATGAAAATAACATAAGATAGACATAATAGGCAAGCTTATTGCTTTGTCTCCGTCAGATGGTAAATGAACAACATGGGGTGAAATTGGGTTTAACGTCGCGTCCAGGATCATTGCACTATACAGATTATAGCCACGTGCATGCACGTGTTTGTGTGTGGCTGCTTGTACTAGTCCGGACTGATGCCGATTCATAGTGCTAGCTCACTGAGATACCATGCCACAGTTTCACATGAATACCCCACTCAGACACAGCGTTCTGGGCTATATTCCTGGTGATTGAGGCTGTATCAAATGGCCTGGCTGCCCATGTATAGCATTAAACCTGAACCATGTACTGGCTGTTCTGGTGTAGCATCACACCCGAAACCTGACTGCACTGGTGTAGCATCATACCCTAACCATTGCCTGGCTGCCCTTGTGTAGCATCCTACCTGAACCAAGGGCTGGTTGCAGGAGTGTAGCATCCTACCCGGACTGTTGCCTGGCTGTACCAGTGTAGCATCATACCCGAATCATGACTGCACTTGTGTAGCTTCGTACCCGAGCCATGGTCTGGTTGCCCTGGTGTAGCATAATATCCGAACCTTGACCTGGTTGCCCTTGTGTAGTATTCAACCCGAACCATGGCCTGGCTGCCCTTGAATAGCATTAAACCCGAACCATGTCCTGGCTGTTCTGGTGTAGCATCACACCCGAACCCTGACTGCAGTTGTGTAGCATAAACCAGAGCCATGACCTGGCTGCCCTTGTATAACATTATGCCCGAAACATGTACTGGCTTTCCTTGTGTAGCATCCCACCAGAACCAAGGCCTGGCTGCACTAGTGTAGCATCTTACCCGAACCACGACCTAGCTGCCCCTGTGCAGCTTCATACCAGAACCCTGGCTGCACTAGGATAGCATCCTACCCTAACCGTGGCCTGGCTACACTGGTGTAACAAGATACCCGAACTGTTGCCTGGCTGTCCCAGTGTAGCATCATACCCGAACCCTGGCTGCACTTGTGTATATCTGTACCCGAATCACGGCCTGGCTGCCTTGGTAAAGCATCGTACCCGAACAATGGCCTGGCTGCCCCGGTGTAGCATCGTGCCCGAACCATGATCTGGCCACCCCTGTGTAGCATCATACCCGAACCATTTCCTTGCTGTTCTGATATAGCCTGATACCAGAACATTGGCTGAACTGGTATAACATCCTATCCTCACGACGGTCTGGCTGCCCTCGTGTAAAATCATACCCGAACCATTGCCTGGCTGCACAGGTGTAGCATCCTGCACAAACTGTTGCCTGGCTGCCCTTGTGTAGCATCATACCGGAACCATGTCCTGTCCTTGTGCAGCTTCATACCAGAACCCTGGCTGTACTAGTATAACATCCTTCCCAAACCGTGGCCTGGTTACACTGGGGTGGTATCCTACCCGAACTGTTGCCTGGCTGTCCCAGTGTAGCATCGTACCCGAATCACGACTGCCCTGGTGTAGCATCTTACCCGAACCACGGTCTGACTGCCTTTGTGCAGCTTCATACCAGAACTCTGGCTGCACTAGTATAGCATCCTACCCTAACC